ATACTACATGTAATTTTTGTATAAAAAAGGTGTTTCCACAGGTCCTGCAGAGTTATAAGGCTGAGGGTGGGAAAAGGGAGAGAGAGAGGGGGATAATTTAATGTTAGTTGTACAGTCTCATTATTACCTTGTACAAACTGTGATTTTTCTTAGCAAACCCTCCCCCTGCCTATATGTTACAGAATACCAAACCCTTTCATTTGGATTGGGAGTCCTTGGGTGGTTGGTGCTAACAGTTATGTGCTCAGCTATAAATTTAAAGGTGGAAATTTTGAGTCCACCCAGAGGTACCTCAAAAGAAAGTCCTCACAATCTACCTCTGAAAACTCAGCCATTGGAAACCCTATGGAGCACAGTTCCACTGTGACACACGTGGGGTCGCCATGAGTCAGAACTGACTCTACAGCCACTGGTTTTGTTTTTTTTTTTGTTTTTTTTTTAATTAAAGAAAAAAGGCTCAGCTATTTTTAAATGGTTATACATTTTGAATCAAAGAAATTGGAACTAATGAGGTTTTATTACAACCTATGATCCTTTTTAGAAAGCTAAGACCAAGCTCTTTGGTACAGATTAGAATTTTAATTCCATGCTCAGAATCTTCCCCATGACACTGCAGTTAGAAGCCCTTGAAGGAGTCTTGGGAGAAATGATCTCTTGTAGCGTTTTCATGCTCTCAGTGACTATTATCCCCAGCTTTGGTCGTAAAACTAAATGCTTTTACAAAAATAAAATAAATGCATAGAAGAGAAGAATTCTTTCCTGCTGCTTATTACTTTTGTGAAGGGCCTCTGCAGCCGGGCACTGGAAATGTACTGATAAGAGGAGCGTTTGAAAGAAGTTTGGTGTGGCCTGCAGTCCACCCAGGAAGACCGGGACTGTTTGACTTTACTGGAAGAGTAGCACCAAATTGGCAATGACTACATTAAGAGGGGCTTTGTTCTGTAACCACGTTCTATTTTTAATCCCAATTTGCCCCTCAGTTTAATTTAGTATAAACTAAGCATTCCCACTTGTTGCATCTTCTAGTGATGACTTTAAATTGCTTTTCACTCAAGTTACAGAGGCATAGTAGAGCTTGTCTCACACAAGGGATTTTTCTTTTCAACTTTATAAATTATTTTTTTGGACTCTTTGAAACCCAGAACATTGCCTTTCTATCCCTTTAATTTTTGTCTGGGACAGGCAAGGGGTGGGGGTTGCTATCATTCAGCTAGTGATATACTTTGTCTCTTTTTGAAACCTTCTTACTTTTCCTTCATTTTAGAAAACGTGCATTCAGACCTCCTTCACAAGTACCAGAGTAAAGATGACATCCTCATCCTGACCGTGCGGCTGGCTGTCATAGTCGCTGTCATCCTCACAGTACCAGTGTTATTTTTCACAGTGAGTGAAAGCCTCAGTGCAATCTGAGATAGGCAGAGGCTTCTCCTTTCCTTCTGCTTTCAGGAACTCAGGTAACTTTCCTGAGTCAATGACACTGCCTCCAAGAAGAATCTCAAGGACTGTTAAGACCCTTTGAAAAGAAAGTGGGATCAGCAAATTAGCATAGGTGATGGTGGAATGACCCTGGGTGGTACAGATAGTTAACATGCTCAGCTGCTGACCAAAACCTTAGAAGTTCAAGTCTACCTAGAGCCACCTCGGAGGAAAGGCTAGTGACGGACTTCCTGAAGATCTGACATGGAAACACTGATCAGCACAGTTTTACTCTGACACACCTGGGGTTGCTGTGAGTGGGAACCAATTCAATAGAAACTTTTTATGGTGGATTGAATCTTAATTCTAATTAATTGGTCCCTCTTTTTTTCAGAGGACTGTAGGTAGAATATTTGAATCGAGATCATACATGACAAGAAAGAGAACATTCAAGTGTAGAGAAAACAAACAAAATTCCCCATTATCACCAAAAAAAAGGAACTCCTATCACTTCATAAATACTTTCCTTTTTAAGTCAAGACTCTGTACTTCCAAAACTGTTATCTATGAATCCATTAGGCATTACAAAATATTTTACAGAGTCCGGTGCATGAATAAATCAATGACTCTGTGAGAAATGTGCAAGTTGGCCTTACAGAATATTTGTTTTCTTTTCCTGCAGGTTCGTTCATCTTTATTTGAACTGGCTAAGAAAACAAAGTTTAATTTATGTCGTCACATCTTGGTCACCTTCATACTCTTGGTTATTATCAACTTGTTGGTCATCTTCATACCCTCCATGAAGGATATTTTTGGAGTTGTAGGTATGGCGTGTTGTTGACTTTGTACTTATCATCCCTCTGCAGCTGTTTAGAGAGCTAAAAATTCATAATAACAACCTCATTCTTTCTTTCTTTCTTTTTTAAACAGGAGTAACATCTGCTAATATGCTTATTTTCATTCTTCCTTCATCTCTGTACTTAAAAATTACAAACCAGGATGGAGATAAAGGAACTCAAAGAGTTTGGGTATGTCTCATGCCAGCCTTTCTAATTTCTCTGATTATTTTTTCCTTAAATTTACCCAATAAAGAATCACTGTTGTTGTTGTTGTTATTTGCCATCGAGTCGGCCCTGACTCACAGCGACCCCTCTTTGGGTTTCTGAGGCAGTATCGCTACGGAAGTAGGATTGCCCAACCTTCCTTCCGAGAAGTGGCTGGTGGGTTTGAACTGCCAGCCTTCTGGTTAGCAGTCAAGTGCCTTAGGCACTATGCTACCAGAGCTCCTAAAGAATCACTACTATCTAATATTACTTTCTATTGCTGCAAAGGAAGACAGCAGCCCTGTTGTTCTCCCATCTAGGAAAGTTAAAATATCACTTCAGAATATTTTCTACTTCCTCAAATTATCTTTTAAGATTGTACTCTTATAGTGCCTTAGCTTTTGCTCTGAGGGCATGCCAGTCAGAAGAAGGGACATATAGTCACCCTGGGTCTTCAATAGGGAGGTACCCTGGGTGACACAAATAGTTTACCCTTGACTAAAAGTTGGCAGTTTGAATGCACCCAACAGTGTCACAGAAGAAAGACCTGGTGAACTGTTTCTGTAAACATTACAACCAAGAAACGCTGTGGACCACTTCTAATCTGTAACACATGGAGCTGCCATGAGTAAGAAAGAAGTCAACAGCAATAGGTTTGGTTCTGCTTTTGTCCCTAGCAGGCAACCCCTTGTCTTCAGCAAGATTTTGATGTAGGGAAGGACTCAGATTTTAGAGTCTGCTGTTTCTGTCCAATTCTTCATCCTGTAATTCCTAGCCCTTGGAACATGCAATGCCTTAATTAACATGGCTGAGTTAGCATAAAGATTCTTTTGATGATTTGACAGAAATACTTTGAAGCAACAGATCTGGATTCAGAAACTACTGTTCTATATTGCGATTCTTGTTGCTAGGTCTGATGAAGTTCAAGGGCATCTTGAAGGTGGTGTACTTGGAGACAGTAAGGGAAACGGGTGAAGTGGCCACTACTTGAGTACGTTCTGGAGCACTATTATGTTTGGCCTCAGAGAAGGCTTCTCAGGTGCCCTTCCAGGTAGTGTAAGCACTGGAATTGCATATGTTACCTGAATCAAAAGACTTGGATGAGAGATGAGACAGAAGGGATCATCCCTGTGCACTTATTAGAAGCAGCACTGATCCTGCTAGAGTACCTAGATCCTCAGGCAGGATGACTCATCAGTTTGTGAATCCCAAATCCCTCTAGGCCTAGCCAGTAGGAGCTTTAGACAACAGAAGAGTAGGTACACTTTACTTTCTGACACAAGAGGAAAGTTACTCAGATTAAATCTGGCACTGATGGAGGCCTGTTGCCCTTAACTTCTCTAGGCCTTGTCAACAGTACTCCCACAATAAAGCTGCTAGTAAGGTTTACCAAATGGCAATAGATAGGGCTCTGTCCATGTAGGGACCCTCTGGGAGTTAGATTGGATCCATCATGGTAAGACTGGGTGCACCTGCTTAGCCCCACCATTTGCCTCCTCTCCTTGGCTGTGTCTCCCTCCAGTTTCCAGGCCAGTCCCCGTGGCTGTCATGATATTTCTTCACCCTTCTCCCTACAGAGCTCTCACTGGACATTCTTAGAGCCAAGCAATGTATAATCTCAGGTGCTTCAGATTCTGGATTTAGTCATCAATCCACCTGTGGTCCTTATCACCCCTTCACAAACCCATTTCTTATTTCACTTGATCAAATCTACTTTGTTTTAAATGTAACATATCTTTCATTCTACTTTTTCAAACATATATTTACCAGCCAGTAATGATCTAGGCTGGCAGTTAAAGAGTAATGAAATTGCCTCTATATTTTCCAAGGGCATTTTTTTTTTTCTTTATCAGTTACAGTATTAGTTTGAAAGGAGCCATACATTGTACAATGAATTGTAGAACAATTTCCCTCTGAGGTGATCAGGAAGTCAAAGAACAGAATGTAAAGGCCAGATCTGCATACCTTGTTTTTCTTAGTTTACCAGCCATGCAAATTCAGATTCATGCAATTTTAGAAAGACTCTCATGGTTCACAATCACTCCAAATATAAGAGGAAATGAAAGCAGAGGGAATGAAGTTCTGGTTCTTCCCCCAGGTGTTTATGTGGAAAATGTCTGCATCACTGAAAATAACCCAGGCCTTTCTATTGTTCCAGGCTGCCCTCTTCTTGGGGCTGGGGGTGTTGTTTTCACTGGTGAGCATTCCCTTGGTCATCTACGACTGGGCCTGCTCATCGAGTAGTGATGAAGGCCGCTGAAACCAGCCGAGAAGAGAAAGCATTCCTGTCTGCTGCCCAGTCAAGTCACCACACATCAGCAACCCCTCATCACTTCTTTTGCAAGTTTACAGAGGCAAAGAAAAATTCACAAGATACTGAAAATGGAATAACACTTTGGTAACAAATCAGAGACCTGTTTCTATAATAGTTCCCGTCCCTCTGAGATTTGCGATCAATTTAAGGATTGTTGATTTTTTTTTCCCAAAAAAATTTCATCCAATCGTGTTTCGAAGTACTTTTCAGAGTCAATTATTCCACACTCCTAACTCTGTGTGTTGTGGCTTCATGGTCTCTTAGAACTTTGAAGACATGATCAGCAATCATGTTTATTTATCATACATCTGAGTTTTGAAATAATTTTCCTACTGATGTTCAGCTCATATAATCTGTACCTTTTCAGAAAAGAAAAGAATCTTGAATTGTATATATTTATTTTGCTTTACAGGGGGAAAAATGGTTTCATAAATAATTTGTCTATTTTGGTTAACATAGCACACAGGGATAATCACAGGGCAGATGCCATTGCTGGATTGGAGCCGGCCCAATATTTGAGGTGGCCCTGATTGGCTAGCAGCTGAGCTGGGGCAGTCCAGTGAGCTCTGGGGCTGGTACTATGTTCTGTTCTCATGCAGAGCCATTCTGTGGTGAGTGGTTCTCAGTCAGGAAGGGAGTGGGGATGATTCTTACTTTGGTAGATCTATTTAACTCTTGTTAATCTAGTAATTTTGCTTCCCTCTTGGCAGACTATGTCAAAATTACTCTAGTCTGAATCAGTTTCTGCTGTGGTAAATTGGGAAGCAAGAGTGCTACTAAAAGATTGTCCAAATGCCTAAGAAAATATTCCTCTGATGCAGATAGGCTTCAACTCTACACCTGTATTGTTGAAGAGGGAAAAGATTTTATTAACTTATAAACCCAGCAGCTCTTACTCATGTCCACCAGCTTTTTGCACAGAGAATAATTTAATGTGTATCTAACTAGGGATGATCTAGGGTAAGTGATTCCTGTTTTATATTGGGTACCTTAGGGGAGTCTTAAAAAGACTTGTTTTATACCTATAAATTTAGGTTATTACAAATATAAATTTTTGTACCTTAAATAAGCCTCATTTCTATTTCTTCTTCATTAACTCTATATCCAGAGTCTAAAAAGGGGAAAAACTCTCAGAGATAGTCTTTGTGAAGTATTTGTGACACAATGGCCATGTACCTTACTTCTGTCTCCTCTTCTCTTCCCTAACCAAGGGGTAGGCCCTTACTGCCCACCCTCACACAGGAGGATGGAGTGGCCTTGTACTCTTACCCAAGCCCCTCTCTTAAAGGGAATGGGAAAGGAAACCACCCAGAGCTTCAAAAAGAGGAGACTTTGGGGCAAGGTCAGTTGGAAAGGAATGGGGGGTGACAGTGAAACCCAGAACCGCATCCACTTAAGACGGACCATCACCTGTGATTAGATTGTCAACATAAGAAATGTGTATTACATGCAAACAGAGTTTGGGCTTTATCTATATTCTGGTTTCATTTTCAAACACATTTGTTCACTGAGCACAGATTTCTTATCCTGAGATAAGTGGAATCTAACCACAGACTGTTGACACAGTTTCCAAGCATTTAGCTCTCTGTGTTCTGTTCTTCCCCCACTCAAATCCCCAAAGGCGATTCCTACTCCTAGGCCTCCATGCTCAGCAAGAGTAACAGGAACTGTCCCTTCCCTTTACAGACTAATGTCCCATAGATAGTGTAAGCATTGAGGTACCTTCTGATCCTCTTAGGGAAGAATGAAAAGTTATTTCCTGCATTGCTTGAAAGGATCACAGTCACTTTTAATAAAATGCTACAGAATTACATTCACATTAGGTCAGAGTTTGGGTAGTTAGAGATGCAGGTCAGTAAAATCCAGAAGCATCTCTATCCTGTTCAGAAATGTTTTCCATATTAATGAGCAATGAGAGAAACCTAGCAAAATGGAAGCTGTCCCTTGGAGACTTGTCTAGAATGCCATGTAATGAAATAGCAGGTAGCAGGATGACCCTCCATTATGTAAACGCAGAATTTAGTTTGCAAGGTATATTATGCTACTCTAGTTCCTTATTAATTTGTAATGATTCATTTTATACTCTGTTGAGAAAATTATTAACTCTGGGATGTGTAGTGATATTTTTGGATCTCTGGATTTTGTGTGTCAGTACATAAAATAATTTTTTTAATTATTATTTAAAATATATTTATTTAGAGGAGACGTGTTGTTGATGTCTATGATACCACATTTTTAAAACATTCTCTGTATGTTTATCTGAATTGATTTGTTGCTGACTTAAAACAACAGACCTACTGTAATTTGTCAAGCATCACTGATAAATCACATCAGTTGTGCGGAATTAGCTGTGAAATGTACTGCTCTTATTCTTCTTGTTCAGAATAGTGAACTGGTAGCCAAAAATACATGTATCACAGGTGTTAGGTAGAGTTTAAACAACCCAGTCAAGTGCTATAGAAGTTTCTCTGCTAAGTTAGTAGACTAAAGAATACTGTACCTTAGCCACAGGGGGCAGCATGCCTTCCTTCAGTAGATAGAATCTCTACACTAGTGAGCAGTACCAGTTTCCGACACTGGATTTAGAACTGTTCTCTACTTATTGTAACACAGGCTATTATAAAGCCCTAATTTACTTAATGTTACTTTTTGGAAGTAGGGGTAGTGAAGTGAGTACAGGAAGAAAACCTAGTCTTTTTTGGCACAGGCAGTCCCCAGTTATAAGCAGGTTGTATTAAAAAAAATGGGAGCTCTGGTAGCGTAGTGCCTAAGGCATTTGACTGCTAAACAAAAGGCTAGCAGTTCAAACCCACCAGCCATTCCTCAGAAGGAAGGTTGGGCAATCTACTTCCTTAGTGATACCACCTCGGAAATCTGAGGAGGGATCACTATGAGTCGTATCCGACTCCATGGCAGGGTGTGTGTATTCCAAAAAATGTCTAAATTGGTTGTTCGCAACCTGGAATATGTTTTCCTTTAGAAACCAGGTTATGCATGGTGGTTAGGCCCCCAGACCAGCTCAGAAAAGATTAAACTCATAGTTTAGCTGAAGTAGAATGATAAGATTCCTAAAGAATTTGACCATTAAATATAATACTGTTCCTATGGGGTAGTTTGGGAACTGCCTAGCATTGGGACTGTGAACTGTTCACCTAAGCCACATACCACCTGCTGGACACTGGGGGTAGGATCTCCACCAGTTAGGGGTGACCTTCGTAACCCGAAGCAGGATCTCCAGCAACAGTGGGAAGCATGAATTCAGGACAACCAAGGAGCCTCCTGGGGGAGAGAACAGTGAAGGCGGATGTGGGGCCTGTACATTCCTCAGCTGATACCTTTGCTTCTCAGGCTTGGCCTGCTTGCCTCTACTTGTGGGAATATTAGCTCCACAGTTCAGCTGCTTCCCTATCCACTGAGGAAAGAGGTGCGGCTGCACAGCCTCTCCCATCTGCCAGTGTCATTGAAGCAAGCACACCGCACTTGGAATGATTTTAGTGCTGGTAACCATGGCTTAACTGCCCAGGAACCAGAAGGGAGTGAAAACCTCTATCCACTCTCCTTTTCAACATGTACAGACCTTGTTGAGAAAGAGAAAGGCACACAGAGGTAGTGGCGGTAGGGTTTGACAACATTGCTGTATTTCAGAGGACACCTCAGACAGCCCAGAACTGGCTTTTGTTTCTGGAATTTGACTCTAGCCCCTAAGCTAGTGGTTCTCAAAGTATGATCCCCAGATCAGTAGCATCAGCAGCATCTGGAAACTTGTTGGAATGTAAACTCTCAGGCCCCACCCCAGACCTAGTGAGTGAGGAGCTGTCAGTGTGGGGCCCAGCAATCTGTTTTACCCGAGCACTCCAGGTGATTCTGAGGCAGCCTCAAGTTTGAGAATCACTCTAAGCCAATTACTCTCGTTTTTTTCTCCCCATTAGTCCTACCTCAAGTGATGGGTCCTTTGACTTGTGAGGCAAGATAGAGGAACCATGATGCAAAGAGGGGAGGAAAGGGCCGCAGCAGCAGGGGTCTCTTCAATGGCAAGAAGGCCACCAGGTCACGAGCACCCCTCTCCTCTGGCATTGCTGGTGCAGGTGCATACTTGTGAAGCCTACCTGCACTCAGGTGTTACTTTGGGCTTAGGCACCATAATAATTTTTAAAAGCTTTGGAGAAATTAAAGTGAGGCACTTTTTTTTTTTTTCTTTTTCTCTTTGAGGGAAATTTAAAGAAAATACTGTTGTAAATTCAACCATAGAGGAAATACTGAATTTGAGTTAAGTTCTCCAGAGTGTTTGTCTTCCTTGTGTGGTTTTCAATCCTGTTCTCCTTAGAAAGTGAGTTCTCTACTGAAAGGTCTGCCTGGTTTAAGGAACTACAAACTGCCCTCAAAAGAGCACAGAGCTCAGTTCCATTTCAGGAGGTTATAAGGGGCTGCACATTTAGTTGGGTGGGGAGGAGGCTGGTAAGATAATCCGATATTTGATTTTATACCTAGTCTCCCTCTGTTTGGGAGCTCTGGTGGCATAGTGCCTAAAGCATTTGACTGCTAACTTCTGGTTCAAACCCACTAGCCAGCCACTCCTCGGAAGGAAGATTGGGCGATCTACTTCCATAGTGATATAGCCTGGGAAACCCAAGGAGGGGTCGCCATGAGTCAAATCCAACTCCACAGCAATGAGGGCTCCCTCTGTTTATCTATTTAAATGCCTAGAGGCTTAGAAAGGACATGAGCTTTAAGAATACAATTACCCAAACAAATTCACAGTAAGCTTCCAGACACTTTCAGAGCAAAAGATGAAACAGACTCTACCATTTTTAGCGATACTGACAAATGGTCTGACTAAGAATGGAGCAACACAACATACTTCCTCTAAAATACAGTGAATTATTTATAATGGTATAAAGCTTTCAGGTACAAATTCAGAGTGGGGTGGCTAGCAACTGAAAAATATC